GTTATCTAACTCTTCTGAATCAGGAAGTAGTTTTAAAAAACTTATGAAATACCATCATATATCTATTAGTTTTCACGCTTTGAGTTAATCCATATACTTTGAGCCTACTACCAGTTAATACACATTTCCATATGACTTTTTTACTTAAAATGAATTAAAAAATCAGATAATAAATAAACAATGATGTTTTTCAAAAATCAAGAGTATCCCCAAGTTGTAAAAGATGTTGAGAATGAGATATTAAATTTAGGTATTTGTAGAGGCACTATTATTGCCGGAAAAAGTATGATTACAACAAAAATAATTACTCATCTTTGAAAGAGCACATATAATAGGATGATGTCATTTTTTCGCGTTCTTTATACCGCTCGATTCATAGAAATATTTGCAACTTTGTTTTAGAGTTTAAATTGGATTATATTAGAACCCCAGACATCTAGTCAGAAGTTATAATTTACAAAAATGAGAAGTTTTTAGCAAAAACGTAAAATTTAAAACTTTTTTTTATTAAAAAATTAAGCAGGTGTATAAAAATATATTGTACGAAGATGTAAAATACATATATTTTATATTTTAATTTATATAGTATGACAGAATTGACAGAATTGGTAATAGACAATGCAACAATGAAGTTAACATTAACCAATTTTCTCAGTAGTGGTATTTGATCTACATATTACATAAACTGCATTCTTTTATCTAATGCAGTAATTATTCATTTGTCCACTCGCAAGTATCCCAGTTAACTATTAACACTTTATCTGCAACCAATTCTTCTTGAACTTGTACTTGCTGATGATAGGTTTCTAGCGCATCTTCTGGTACCACTTCTTCTTCCACCCACATAGTCTCACTGCTTTCGTTACTGACCAAGAATTCACCATGTCGATAATTGTGAACATAAACTACTGGAAATTCTTGAATTTTCAAAGCAGACTCTACAGATAAATTAGATTCCTTATGCGAACATTTTTTAGTATGGTTTTTTAAATTTCTTTTTAAAGCAAAGTATCGATTACAGTATGAACAAATATATTCATTAATCGATTTATTGATAGTTGGACAATACCAATTGAAAGGAAGGTATCGTAGATTCATACCCGAAGGAGTTAGTTTTCCTTTCATTAATACAGATAGAAGAAAAGAGCTAAAGTGGGTTGTATTGTCAGATTAATTTATCTTTGCCACGCAAATACTATAAGGCATTTGCTGAACCACGAGCGGTGAAGGAAAAAACTGATTCGGAAGAATTTGCTTGATCCCACTACGAAAAGGCTTACAGCAACTTAGATCATCACACTTTATAACTTGAGTAATATAACGGCAAGTCATTACATGCTTTTCTATCCAAGCTACTAACTTTTCGCTTGGGCTGTAATGTTCATCAGAAGGATCTATATACTTAACAAGAACTGGGTAGTTATCTATAATTGTATTTTCCCATATTGATGTTAAAATATCTCCAGCTGCTTTAAAATTGTGTTTTTCTAATTCTTCATTATTTGTTCTTAACTGTGCATCTAAATGTATTCCAAATGTATCATGCGGGAGTATGACGCTAGCTAAGTCATGACTTAAAGGCGCCATTCGCCTTTCGACCGGATTAGATGCACTCTGGTGTAGTGCAAAGCACGCCACAATAATGGTATCAGGATCATATGTATCAAAATGTTCAATCATCATCTGAACCATTTTTCTATATCTGGGATTCTCGTTGAGACCACCATCACTTAGCAGCACCACTACGGGTTTAGGTTGTTCGTTTGTTATAGTGTAGCTATGCAATTTCTCCTCATTCATCAAGTCATTAAAATCTTTACCGTGAGAATAAGCGGTGTTGCTATCATATTTACCACTATGTATTCTTATAAATGTTGGTCCTGAGTATATTACGGCTTCAGCACGCCCATACTTACCCTCTTGTACATCCAATATTGCATAAACTGAAGGAATCAGTTTATGCCTTTCAGCAACAATCCAATCATGATCTGGCAGTTCTACTCGATATTCCAGCCTCATAAGGATTGGTGCTATATGAATTAATTATTTATTATTAGTGAGCTTTATTTATTATATGAGTGATGCCAAGAGAAAATGAGACCAATGTTCTATTTTTTCTTGACGTCACTCATATTTTAAATAGTAAATCTATTTTATTTGAAGT